AGAGAGAGAGAGGGTGATCGGTGTAAAAGAGGGTCAGGGGTGGCTAGGGAGGACGAGGGTGAGGCAACACACAGATGGGACAATAAGGGAGAGGGAGAGACCGGAGGAGGATATACATTGGGAAGATTAGTTGTACGTGGCGATAATATGCGGTTCTTAACTGGCCGTAAATCAGACTCGAGAGAGGCGCCACGCCCCGTCGCTCCTTTTCCACTTGTGAAATCTTCGCGAGTTGCATCTCGTTTGTCGCATCTCGCGAATGCAACTTTGCGTCTATCGATAGATACGGCAGTTAAAATCTCGATTCAAAATTACAAGACATGATGAAAAAATTGATCGAGTTGTCTCGATGTATCTAGATGTTACTGTTCAATTTTCCGACATATACGTCGCAATCGATTCAGCTGCCCGATATATTTAATTTTAATTTATTTAATATTTATAAGATTTATTTTCAATTTCTTGCACGAGGCTGAATGATCTAGAAAGACTTGTTGCAAATATTCGAAACTATCGGAGCATATAAGTCGCCTCGGTATCACACTTAAATGTAAAGCAAGCCATAGATTCGCGACGCGTGGCAACTTTGACGTCGGGTGATAAAATGACTGGGATTCGCCACGAGCGAGCAACAGGCGTCAAGCGAGCGCGGGGGAGGAATAACGAAAACATAGGGAACAATCCGTAGAAGTTTTATCGCGGCTTCGAACTGTAGACGAATATACGAGGTGAGCTCGCGAGACTTCGATAACCGCATAAATCGTCAAGAAGTACACAAGCGAAGAAAGATCGCGGCTAAGAGAATTCGTCGCGCCGGTGTGAATCAATGATCGATGAATGTGGACGGGTTGGAAGTGGAGGAGCTTCACGGCGAATCCGACCGTAATCAGACGACGAGATAGGCGAGTTTGCGCGATTAATAGTGAAGCACTTAAAATACGTAATTAAACGATGTATAACAAGAGACAAGAATTGAAAGCGGATGCAATTGAAATCTCGTGTGATTCTGACGAGGAATAGCTTCCTCAAAATCATTGTTGGTTATTTTCGAACCGGGCATCTAAACTATCATTTTGCAACCCGGGTACATGTGAACGATAAAAGTAAGAGATAAGAGCTTAGATAAGTTCTACGTAAGTTCCTCACATGACGCAAATCGGTGCGCGCAAGCGCTCAATAGTGAGAGCGCTTTCGCTAATGAGCAAGAAATAGCGGTGGCAACGACGATAAAGCCGCCGATAGATTGGTCAATGATCTCGCGGCAAATACATGCGATGCGCAAAAGTTCGGTGAATATGTACAAACGTATTCACCGTTCGATCCGTCCGTCGACTGAGAAAGGAACGTTTTTGTCAGCATGACGCG